CTAGCAGGGCTCAAAGCTCTGGCCGACAAGTACTGCAAAGCACACTCCCCAAGTTGTACATCACAAGGCCGTGGAAAGCATAACAGCCATAAGGTTACGGGATCTGAGAGCATAACAGCCATAAGGTTACGGGATCTGAGTTTCGGCCATAGCAGCAGCAACCATGTCCCCGTACTGGCTAGGGATATTATTGTTTGTAGCAGGGACTGCAGTGCCAGGCTTGCATGGTTGTGTCTGATTCACTGCAGCTGCTCCTTCCACGGATTTCCTGTGGTTTTGTCGCGAAGCAACAAACGCCTCTGCGGTTATCTGCGCGCGTGGCAGCTGCGTTCGCTGCTGCAGCATCTCTTGCAGCTAAAGCATCCTCTGGTCCACGCGCACACATTGGTTTCTCTTTATGCCTTCCGTTCGATGGCATCAGCCAACGCAGGCAACGTATCCCCACACCAACAACAACGAAAGCAACAACAGGAGCAGCACGAGAAGGCCTTGAGGTCCTGTGCCTGTCTCCTTTTCCTAAGTGAAGATGGGACTCTTCTTCAGTCCATCCCGCTACTACGTTTGGCAGCAGATGGCCATCTGAGAATTCTCACAAGAGCAGTAGCAGCAACAGCCGGGCAGGCTGCAGATGTACAGGACACGCCAACGTCACAGACAGCAGGAGCAACAACAGTGGGCAGCAGCAGCAGCAAGTATGCTGGGGTAGAAATGGAGATGCAACAGTTGGCTTGTGTCTCACACCCATCCGAGTTGGTAACTACAGCAACGGAAACAGACAGAGCTATAGACTCAGTAGCAATAGCAGCGGGGCAGAGCACCGCTTCTGGTTTTCAGGTTTGCGTTGACATCTCTGTGCTGGTGGATGAGGAAGTGCTTCAGCTGCCTCCTCACACTCCTCTTCTGCAAGTCTATAGATTGTTCGGGTTACTTCATTGCGAGTGAGCCCTAGAAGTTGTTTCTTTTTTGCCGATGATGATTGCTTTCTGCTTCTCCACTCGTCAGTTCGTGCACAGCTCACGGGTTCTGCTGTGGTGCGCTTTATCGGCGTGTTCAGGGTTTGTTTGCTATCGCGCTGTGGTGTGTTGGAAGGGCTGATCGGCAAGAAGAGCTTTCTCACCGCAATGAGGACCCCACAACTAGATGATTGCTGCTGACAATTAAGCTTCTGCTCGTAGTGATGAATCTTGCCTATGCGCTTGCTCTCACGGAAGATTGAAAAAGAGTTTTAGGCGACTTAGGAGCTTTCAACGCTAAGCGAAAGGGGGAGTTGCCATGAGAGCTTATGAGCGGAAGAGGCATTCGCTGACCTGCCTTTGGGTGTATTCTTACTATAGGAAGTCATTTTTCGTGCAGTTCCGTTGCACGCGTCATGAGGTGCACGTTTTTAATTTATGTATGCAGAAACATGAGAAGCAGCATGCGTAAATAGCATTTTGCTATGTAAATAGTACTGCCGTTCCGTTTTTTGTTTATTTGGCCTAGCTTGGAGAGGTAGAATTAATGCGTTAACTGTGGCTGTGTGGAGGCAAATGCGCTACGTGTAGAGGCAAATGCGCTACTTTCTGGTGCAGTGCCTACGTTAAGTACTTCTTCACCTATATCTAGCCTTAACTTAGAACTAAACGCAAACTGCAAGTCGCAATCCGTTGTAATAGCCGAGATAAGCGACTAGCCGAGACAAGTGACTACATGGCCACGCACAGAATTCATAGGGCGTGGGCGTCGTCACACTCTAGATGTGGTGGCGTGAAGTGAAAGTCGTCGCAGGCGTAGCAGAATCCCGAGAATGGAGTAGGCTTAAGTTGACGCATAGTGGTTAGAAAAGAAGAAGCAACGGCTTGGACCGCGTGCTTCACCGAGCCCGATGTAGGGAGATAGCCCACGCATACAGGTGGGGCATTAGTACCAAATATCCGAGAACTGTGAATTCCCCTGGATTCGCCTATCGAAGCAGTACCTTGAGCTATTTATATAACAGGAAGCGCCAACTGTTGAGGTCCACATGGGGAAAATGCCGGTGGAGTCCCATAGATGTCCACTGTTCCGAGAGGCTTCAAGCAGCCCGCACTGTGCGGCTTGCTGGCAGGGGAGACACTTTGCCGAATGTGTGCAACGAGTGGATGCAACTGCTCGGAAAACATTTCATGCATAATACACGGCCTTCCTGAATCAAGGCAACAATAGGAGGTTTTGTTTCTTTTTGTCCAGCGAAACGTACTGAAACAGGGCCAGTAGCTTGATAGGTAGATGCCCAAGCCGTCTAGACTATCCTCCTACCCAAACTGCGCTGGCCTTTTGCGCCGTGAAGTCAGCACACTATAATAATCGACAATCAATAACGTCAAATGCTTCGGAGGTTTGACGTTGGGCCTCATACAATTTAACGCAATGTGGCTTATCTATGCATTTCTCAACTTCTTGAGAAAACAAGGTATGTGCTGCCCCATACAGGCTATTGATGTAGAAAAATCAGTTAACTTTCAATTTTCATCAGAACACGCCGGAAATATAGAGTACGTAAGGGCCCAAAGGAATGCACTTGCTGGGTCTACAGCGGGACAGCGTGCGCACTGTGCGTGACTTCTACCCTCAACCTAAATCCACATCAACCTGTTGGTAACTGAGCATCAACGGGACCAGTGCTCTCCATGGCTCTCTCGCTAATCCATGACATGAGAGCGGACGCCGGTAGGAGGCTGATCCACAATCTTACAGCCACATGCAAGCAGGTAAGACGCCAGGCTGCAAAGGATATAGGCATAAATCACGTACAAGCCCAACTCAACAGATTCCATAGCGCGCGTTCGAGCTTTTTATGCTGAAGCAAGTCCGAAAGATATGCCACCTCGTATCTGCATGCTCCTGCGTGGACTTCACTCCTCCGAGTCCCTAATTTTAAGCACTCTGCTGAGGTAGCTGAGCAGAAACCGACGAATTTTTCGTAATTACGATATTTCCCACAGGGTCACCAGGTCGACACAACTAGCGGAACCTGCAACCGTTCGAGACTAAACCAACAAGCTGAGCTAAGCGGTCCACTCAGGGAGGCGCTGAGCTTGCACTGGGTGGGCTCAACCGCATTCCGCTCGGCATGCGCTCACTTGTTTTGCTGGCGCGCAGTCGTAGGGTTCCCCTTGAAGCAACTCATGACAAGTAGCTTCCAATTCTCTCGTGTACTCTTGGCCAACATGGCAGGAGCTGCTGGGAATAGGAGTGTTAGCTTAACAACAGCACATAGTGAGTAACACTATGGACCGCCACATCGTGCTGCCTCTACTGGAGTAAAGATGGAAATGCGCCACTTCATTGTGTTCTGCGCTCTACGCGTCGTCTAAGCAGCTCATTAAAATCTGTTGGCCAAGTAACGCACTGCTTTGGTGCATTTTTCAGCCTTCAGTTAAGCAAGGAATCTCTACTGAAAGCATCGCTCTTGGGCTACTGCAAAGGCTCTGTCGCCATGCTGCTCCCTGCAGTAAAACCGCCATTTCTGCTGCTGCTTCTGCTGCACTCCATCAGATGCACATGGCAGCAACAAAAAGACGTATTCTTCGGCAAACGGCGGCCATGGGAGGACGCAATCCCTAGGGGGAACACCGGATCGTGATGATGCATCTAGAGAAGTCTCCGCAGTGCCACTGCAACGGTGAAGGACTCGCTGCAGTGCACGTTTCTCACTGCAGGACAGTACTGGCACTAGTATGTCGCATTCTGACTCCAGCACCTTTCCTCCCTTCTGGCTGTCTTCGTCTGCTTCTCTTGTACAGGTACTCCCCGCTGTTTCTGCAGCGTTTCCCTGTTGCTGCAAACGGTGTAGCAGCAGCTGCAATGCCCGATTTACCACTGCTAGAGCGGAAGGATCTGTGCCAAGCACTCTGCAAAGCCCCGCGCCAGCAGAAAGCATGAACTCACACCGCATGCAAGCAGCAAGAAGCGCAACAGGTGGCACCCACGCCAGCCCGTCACTGGAACGAGCAGCAGCTGTCGTTGCTGCATGCGCAACTGCATGCCGCTGGAGTTCGTCTGCGGCAGCCTGCATAGCAGGAATGTGGCAAGGGAAAAATCGCCCTTTACAGCGGTCATTGCTGTAGGTGCCCGAATGCCCAGAACACGCCGCAACCACCCCTGGAGTGAATTTACAGCGTTTGCTTTCGTGGGAACCACTGCCGACTAAAACGCATGCGCAAGCAAGTCGGCACCGTTCAGCTAGCGAAGCCACAAGTATCCGCAAAATCTGACCCAAAAAATCCGGGGCCGTGAGGGACTCCAGGCCATGCAGTGCCACTTCCCCTTCGACCTGTAGCAAGTAGAATGTCACAGCACGAAATCATCTAGAGAATAGCTGCGATGGGCTAGGCACTGAGACGGCCGGCAAACAGTTGAGTGCTGTCAAAGGGAATTTGAACAGGTTTCTGCATGTAATGCCGACTGCCAGCCACAAACGCCCACCAAGCAATTAAAAAACTGCTGCTGCTTGTCCCCATTAGGAAAAGGCTGCTCTTCCTCATTCTGTTCTTCTCTTGCGTCTTCTGTAGAACTCGATGTAGCGGTGCCTGCAGCAGTAATTGCAGCGTTAGTAGCAGCCCTAGCTGCCTGATGCACCGCATTCGCCATGTTTGCCACAGAACTTGCTGCTGCTGCAGCGGCCGAACGTGCTGCTTCCCTTTGCAGTAGCAGCCGTTGTCGCTGCTTCAGCAACTGCTCCACACTGCATGGGAGGCCGGCGAAACAGTGCTGCCACCATATTGTGCCGCACTCAGGTCGGAACGTTTCTTTGTTTGACAACTTCAATAATGCTTCGCAGTGCTTCTTAAAAATGTCTCGCACAACTGCAACTGTATTTCTCCGCTCTCTATAAAGAGCTGTATGCATGTCGAGGGTGCTCTGTAAAGCAAAAGACAAGCAAACAAGGCAAGCGTTGTACGCTATCTAGATCATTAACTCTATGACCGTGCACCAACTACTCATTGATACACCAAAACTACCCGGTACGCATTTCGTTCCTATACAGAAAAGCTTGCCTCTGTGATTGGGGGAAGAATTGGGATGATGGGCTCGTGGAGGTCGGCCAGACCTGGAGGTGGAGGCAGCACAAAACGGAGAGATTCAAACGGCTGCTGCTGCTGCTCTTCGGGCTTATCCTGCAACAGCCACTGCAAGCGCTGCTGCTGCACCGCACAATTCAGCTGCTGCGTTAGCTGTTGTAACGAGCAGCAGCAGAAGTCCGGCAGTGCTGCTGGGCCATCAGGACAGCAAGAAATGCCACCTCCTGCTGCTAAAGCGCTCCTCGGCTGGCTCTCATTTACAATATCTGCTGGAGATGCTGCGCACGCTGTAGCCACTGCCGCAGTTATGCCGGAAACCACACGTGGCAGCAGCAGCCCCCTGTCCCACATCCAGCGAAGTTGCATTACAACTTTCCGCCAGAACTCCTGCAGCAGGTCAAGCCTCTGTTGCTCCCCTGCAAAAAGCGCCAGCTCAGCGAAAAAACTGCTACCGCTGCTACTGCCCCAAAGGAGGCCGAATGCCAAGTCGAGCCCACAGCAACTGCAGGCACTGCTGCAGCAACTGCATTGAAGGCATTTGTTGCTACCAGTCAAAAGTAGTCGCTTGGCCTGCTGTTCATGTATTAGCAGCTGCTGCTGTCGCGTCATAGGTCTGAACAGCTGTTGCACTTTTGCCTCAATAGCCGCTGCTCTCGTTTCTTGTGTAGTACTATCATCGCTCGTGTCATTGCTGCCGCTGCATACGCTGCTGTCGTTGGGGCCGGCATTTCTTCTGCTGCGCTTGCTTGCAGCTTTATCCCCAACAGAGCGCATGCTGAAGCGCTGCCTGTGCCGGCTTCTACTGCGCTCGATATCTTGAATGATATCTGGGCTTAGTGATACAAAGGGGTCCTGGTTGATAGCCTTGCTATTGCTGTTGTTGTTGCTACAGGCGATCAGCAGAACGCTCAGCTGGTGAATTCGACTCGTAATGCCGCAGCACTGCCGCCATTCGTCACTTTGCAGGAAGCACAGGGAGTACAGCCGCTGCTCCGCCGTTACTTTTTGGTTGTGGCGCTCCAGAAAGTTCTCATAAGCTCCGAATACTGATTGATGCAGGGTCAGCCTCAGCCGGCAGTCAAATGCGGCAGCAAGCGGCCTAGTTCTTCTGTGGCTGCTGCACCAGAAGTCCCGTAGGGGCCGGAATGGAGAACACCAGATTACGTGTAGATCCTGTAGGGGACACACCTGCAATAGAAGCAGCTGCAGCAGGGTGTCTGCTGAAAGCGCAACACTGCTGTCCAAGCCAGCAAGCGGAGCTGCAGCGCCTGCAGCGACTTCATGCCATCCGCTTATAATGCTTCTGTTGATCCCGGCACAGTCGCTGCTGCCGTCATTACCTTTACCGCAAGTGCTTTGTGACTGCTCCAACCACCAGTCTTCGGGGACGAGTTGAAGAGCTGCTGTTGTATGCGTGTCTTCGTAATCAGCGGGCCACGTATGATGCCAAGGGCTAGGGAGATAGTACGTGTATTGTGCTGCGACCGCCAATCGCTGTAGCAAGGATAATATGTGGTGCCTCTCTTGATTTTGCATATTCGAACTCATCTTAGCGCCCAGTTGAGGCAGAAGCAAATGAAGGAATTCTGCAGAAAGCAAATACTGGAAGAAGAAGCTGGAGTTTTGGCTGGGTACGCACAGTCGCAAGACTGCACTTGCCTCCTAAGTAAACTTACTTGTCGCGTCGCAAAAGGCAAATGTAGAATTGAGAGAACGAGACTCATACTCCCTGATGAAAAGTGGTCCTGTTTCGGTGGCGTCGCTGGGTGCTTCTTCTTCACTCTGTTCTGTCTTGCCTGTCACGACAACGGGCAGCGCTGTTGTTGAATTCACTGCGTGAGCTGGATTTCTGTTCCTCTGGGACTGCAAAACCTGAGAGCCGATGCAATCCTCGTGTAGCGGTAAGTGCAGGAAGAACATGGGCAGCCGTTTTAGAGTCTGATGCAGCTGGATTTGATCCAGTTGATCTTCTGTGCAGTCGTATGGGCAGTACTGCACTGCGCGTGACGCCAGTCCAAGGGCTGCAAGGGCCGCCCTCGCTGCGTGCTTTGGAACGCGCAGTGAGCCAGTAGACGCTCCTGGTGCTACTGCTGTATCATGCTTCCCGTCTGTTGCTGTGCCAATAGGTTGGCGTATAGCTTCGACCAGCAAGAACTCCGAAACTGAAGCCAACGGGTAGTACACACAAAAAAGAGAGGGGATCCTGTGCCATGAGTGTGGCATCTCACTAGGCTTTTGATTTGCATGCAAGTCACTCACCACCAAAGTTGCGCTGCACAAATGATGCGCGGCTGGGGAAGAGTTGTTCCCATCGAAGAATACACGCGGCGCAAGTGCCGCAGCGCAGCTCTTCATCGCCGCTGCTGTCGTATAAGTTGCTGGCTACCGCGGACCTCGAGATGCCATGGTCCTCTGCAAACCGCTGTTCCTCTAGAGTTGAGTGTAGAGCAGCATCGCTGCTATTCTTGTCAATGCAAGTGCAGCAGAGCTCCGGAAAAGGCGCAGCGCACGTATATGTGACTCTCAACAATTGCCCCTGTTCTGTTTGGGAGAGGTCTAGAGCATGCTTAAGATGCTGTGCAGTGCAAAGAACAGTCTGAAGCACTAGAGGGGCGAACTGCTGCAGAGATATCGCACAGCGTCGCTGTTCTTGCTGTTGTTTCGGTGACAGGCACTGGCAGGAAATCTGCAGAGGCGGTACTGCGCAGGCGTGCCAGCTGCTATGGCTCTCTTCAGGTATGTGCATGCCTGCGCCAGTATGTGGAACACCAGATTCTGGCACCATTGATTGTGCATTTGCAACTGCGACTTGACGTAGGTAACGCCGGCGAGCAGCAACAATGGGGAAACGGCCAATAGTGACCGAGAGCTCGTGCTGCAACATCTCCCATGGAGAGGCACGGGAAAAGTCCTCGAATACCAATTCGCGAATCAGCGTATCACTCAGAAAGATGGCACTGATGCCATTTGTGCTTCGGCTGCTTCTGCGGCTACTGTTGTTGATGTTAATCTCGTCGTCGCTATCTGTGTCACCGCAGGAGCCACGTTTCCTGCTGCTCTTGCTGATGGTACGTGGCATGCTCCCAGCATTCTCTACCACTCTGGCACTAGCCGTAGTGGCCTCCGCAGCCCTGGCATGGTTCTGTGGGCTGGAGTCGCCACTTTGTGTATGGCTGCAGGCAGTAGCGCTGATGTCGCCGCTGGTGCCTTCCACGCTGCCGTTGTGGTGTCCCCCCCATGTATTGTGGCGCTTCTTCCTCCCCATCGTCTGCAAGCTCAATGCACATGTCGACGGTACTCGCAGCTTTCCCGCTTCAACTGCAGCCGTTCCTGTTCACTGCTGTGGTGGGACAGCTACAGACGCTGAAAGGGGTGCAGCATCTTCATACGTATTATACGCCCCATAGAAAAGCAATCCTTCAGAACGAGACAGCCGCACAGTCTTGCATGCAGCGTCTAAGAACAGTTCCGCATCTGCAAGATGGTGACAACACAAGTGAGTGCCACTCAGTGCTTTGTTTGTGCATTCAAGTAGGTGAGAAAGCGTTAAAACCTAAAACACCGTACTTCACGGTCCCAGAGTGGACCGGACTTACCAAAAGTTCATAATCCACGCAGTTTCCGTATCTACACAATGTTCGTGATCAGGGGCCCTGAGGGGCCCCGCTGCGTATTCCTACAGCGAACCTCCATTTCGAGGTGCCCATGCGGCCCTGTCTCATCTCATTTGCTGAGACCTCACCATAGCATACACCTACTTTTTTTCAAAGTGTGTGTACTTGTCCCTTTCCTTCTGCCAAGCTGTCGCCTTCGCTGGGAGGTACATGGTCTATTCCACTGCGCATGTGGTCAAGAGCAGCTGCGAAGCTGAGACCGGTCACGTTTTACAGATGAGTTTATCCAGAAGATAATTGGCCGCAACCCCGAAATGCTTCTTACAGCAAAGGCATGTGAGAGTTGCATATGCCTTCAGAGAAACAACTCAAGCTCCAGAAGACTTCACATAATTTTTGGTATACTCGAGGGCAGGCACCTTTGATGAGCTCGTACCCACAGACCGCTAAGGTTATTTCCTCAAGATCCACGCACACCGCAAAGTAACAGTCTTGGCAAGGGCCTACGGTGACCCCTGTGCTTGTTGCGCCAGTCAATGTATGGGCGACGGATTGCTGCCGAAAGGCGACTCGAAACCTCTGTTTTATTCTGGCAAATATTTGCGCCTCTGTAAGTGCATTTGTTGTGGATATATCCGTGCTGTTGCTTGCATCATTCGAACCATATGCAAACTATCTGGGGAGGCTCACGTGGACGTGCGGCGGCCTGTTCGTGAAAGTCATAAGGTCTTTTTTTGAGCAGTCTAGTGGCACGATGCGGTGAAACGGCAATACCGTAAATAACAACTTCGGCTAGCCTGTCAGATCCAAAGCAGAAGATTCGCCGTACGAGTAACCAGAGATTCCGAAGTCCGTACTCCATGGCAGCCAAAAGGTGCGGCGCGTGGGTGCCATATAAGAGATCTCACTGCATCTTAAGAGACAGGCAACTTCCTTGACTTAATTGAGTCCGTAAACAGAGCTAATACTCTACAGGAGTTGGTCACTGCCAGTGCTTCTCTGGGGGGAAGTAAGGTAGCATGCTCCAGCGCAGCCAAGAGAATTGTCCCTTCTCTCCATCACTCAAGAACTAGCAGGCACATTGGCATTGGCGAATGAACAGCCTTAATAGCGTCATAACAGGGGGAGCTTCAATTAGACAAAGGATTGGTGCTGCAGGCGTAGATGTGCGTGCAACGGGGCTGTTCCATGCATTACTCCTACCTCCCCATAGCATTCCCCTAGACGTGAATGGACCAAGTGGTAGCCGCATCTCTACGCAAGAGGCATTTCTGACTGAGCAGCGCCGACACCCGGCAAGCAGCCTACAGTCATGACAGCAATTCCAGCTCATATAGTTCACCTTCTCCGTCAGCACCTCTTGTTATCCCAATTTCAATGCTGAGAACTCCGGAATCCGTACACTGCTGCAGCTCAACAAGGCAACGCCAGCCAGTTTGATTCCCGAAATCTCCAGCTTCCCTACCTCTTCAAATTCTCTTCAATGTTTTTCTGTATTCACGTTCTGTGGCGCATTCATGTTCCGTACTGTCCTGAATTCCTTATGCGTGTGCCCTACATCCATGAATGCCACGCAATCGCCAGCAACAGGGAGGCAGCATAATGCCTCCTTTTATCCTGATTTAATATACTAGTTGCAGGGCACGCGCTCTTTTACTCTAGGATGTGCTGGGTTTTTTGCACAGTTTTGAGCATTTGTTACGGAAGCACAGCAAAAGCTTGCGTCTTCTTTTTTATCACTCCTTTATACAGGTTCAGTCTTGTAACCTCGCATCACTATAGACTCACTTGTCTCCTCTCCTGGGATGACTCCTTCCTAATTCTCGTCATTAAACTTATTAAGATGGCACAGCTCGCTTCCACGAAGAAAATAAGCACAGCAACAGACACAGGCAAGTTTCCTGGTGCCAGCGTTACTCCCAGCCACAGCTCACCCGAAATGCAGCTGATTCCCAGGAAAGATTCATGCAGTCCGTCAGAATACAAGCCGGGCCTCTGTATCCATTGTCAGATGAATTGCGCTGTATCATCTGAATATCGGAGCCAAAGGCGACACGGTGACAGCTTTAGTCTTGCTCTCGATCAAGTGTTCCAGTTGGGCGAGGTGGAGTAGCAGCGTTTATTCCAGCACGCAAATATACGTATGCATAGTGATAAACAACTTTTCCCACCAAGTTTGCACTTTCTGAAGTGGTTCTTTATCAGAACAGTAACACGGTTCTTTATCCAGTGACAGCAGCCGATTCTGACATTTCTGGCGGTTTTATCCGCATTCTTTCGTCCCTCCACAGTAAATGCTGTTTCGAGCTCTGCATTCAACGACAGAGTTACTTGAAAAGTGGTTGAGAAGGCGCATGCTGCCTCCAAAATGCGCAATGTTGAGTAAGCGGTAGGGTGAAAGGTATGGTCTAGCAAAAAGCACTTGATAGCATTCATTGGCTGCTTTAAATTTGAAAACCTGGTTACTCTGTTCATTCAAGGTCGCGTGCCGCATCGGCAAGTTGCATACCTCTGTTTTGCTCATACCAAGATATACTCCAGTTGATTAAGCTATTTGTGCACCGCCAAGACGGCCCGTCACTGGCCTTGAACCGAGCCACTCTTCATTGGCTTCCTGCACTCGATGTGGGAGGCAACTCACGAGCCACTCAGCAGCAACATGAGCGTGAGTGTATTCTTGCGACGTCGAGGGCCGCACTTGAACACCGCGCCACGTGGGAATCAGCCCTTCATCACTGTGACTGAATCTGCACTACTATTGGCTTAAGAGCGGCGGTCATAGTGCACAGGCACTACAATAGGGCTTGCTGGTGACCTATAGAAGATAACTAGCTGGTGACCTAATTAGATGTCACAATACTGAACGAGGACAGGACCCTCTTACTTGGATCGAAGTAAGGCAACTTGTCGGCGAATTAGCGTGTATACACTAGACGTGCCTGTAAATAGCCGGAGATTGGGGCTGGCAATAGCGCCGGCACCGGTGCAGACCTCCTCCCCACAGGGCCTAGGAGGCGAGAACCCCAAGTGGGGGGGATTTTGAGGACAATAGATTTTGAAAAACTATGAATAAATGTATTTCGTAATATTTGAATTATTGCTTCAAGGAAATGCTCCGAAGGTAGACAGTCATCGTAGGTCCCTACTCGAGGGGGCAGGTAGCAGCGTAGTCGCAGCAGTAGGTGCTGTGCACTACATTTGGGGGCTGCTCTGGGATGAAATCTTTATTCTTTCCGGAGTTGGGAGTAGAAATACTATATTTCAATGATGCTCACCTAAATATCTTCGCTCGATAAGGGATGCAACTCCGCAACGGACGCGTCATCGGCCCCACACCGCAGGAGACTTCTACAATGTCAGTCAACAAAAAGCCGAGCGGGACGCCAGCCCATCATCGCCACGCGACTCCGAAGCCCACTGTGGCAGAGCGGCCGCATGGGCATAAGGAGGCGCCCCCACAGACAATACCTATGACCAATGTTATTCCAGGGGACAGTCCCTTCGCCACGTGGGACCAATTCCAGTCCGCTATGAGTGTGATAAGAACTGTTATAGGGGGGACCGTGGAATCCGGGGCAACGATTCCCATGCTACCAGAAGACGGCAGCACTATGCAGGCCTTTCTGCTGCGCGTCGAACGCCGGTACACCCAGATGGGATTGCAACCTCGCGAGTGGGGAAGCGCACTTATAGACCACCTTGTGGGCCCGGCTCTAACGTATTGGATGTACCTACGGAAAACTATCAACCTAAGCGACTGGGCGGCAGTACAGCGCAGGCTTTTGGAGCGGTTTGACAAAACAATGTCGCAGAGTCAATCGTTAACGGAGTTGGGTAAAGTACGGTGGAATGGTAACCCGAAGGAATACACGGACCGGTTTGCGGCTGTAGCGGAGAGTGGTTTGGGTCTTGCCCCCGACGAACTCGCTGACTATTACTGCAGCGGGCTACCGACAGACCTCCATCTTCTAATAACCAATAACGGACAGGTGAAATGTCAGTCGTGGGAACAAGCGGCGACCGCCGCAACGCTCTGCGAGCCCAAGCAGAATGTGCTGGAACTCCGAGAAAGGACCAGTCGAGCCATTAGGGCTGCTATCCAAGCTAATGGACTCCGTGGGCACGAG